TAGAAACTTTTCTGCGGGCGCCCATGCGCAGGCCTATTCTTACTTTTAATTTCATTTGTGTTTTTATTTTGTTGTTAAGGCTGTTTTGACATAATATAAATTTAAACAAAAAGCTATGGCAGTTTGTTTAATATAATGGAACTTAAGTCTTGATGAGGTTAGGGAAAAAAAAAATGAAGGCTTAAAAAAAAAAAAAAGGCTTTGAACCGATGGATGTCATGTTTATGCTTACAAAAATCTCCACTTGAGGATGGATTTAAAAGGAGACTTAAGGAGGAAAAATGTAACTTATGTTTTCAGTTTTTTAGTCCATATTGTTTGGACCAGTAACATAAGGCCCATGGACCGGTGCAGGTCCGCGGGCCACCACTTTGGGAAACCCTGGCTTAAATGATGTTTCCAAGATTTCATAATTTTCTCTGTTTTATTTTTAGGGGTGTAAGATGCAATGAATATTTTAATGGTAACAACGTGCTTCTCATAGCTTGCCTCCGATTATTATACATTTCAAGAGTAAAGCTTTGTGATTGTGTGACCATTTTATCAATAATGTAAGCTAGTTCAATTCCAAAATCGTCCGTCATCCATAGATTGCACTCCCCCACCCTGGGCTCCTTTCGTGGAAGCTGCTGGAAACATATTCAATCGACAGGATTCCCCTAACTGTTTATGATTGGACGTGCATCAAATCAAATATTTACATAGCTGTTTATGATTTGCAAGTGAATTAAGTAACCAGTAAATCAAACGAACCGCTTTAAGTGGTTAACCACATATCGCAATGAAATTTCATGGAAATGAGTAAGATGGCTTGTGCTGCAGTGAGTTGTGCCACCTCAGAGATCTCTCACCACGAGCTTTTTTCTTTGTTTGGCGTCTTTTTCCCCCATTTCCTTGAAGCAAAGCCTTGTGGATTGCTAACCTCTCTCAAGCCTGATTGATTGCCACAAGCGAGAGGGACGCTGCGGCTTCTCCCCTTTTTGTGCCCGAAATTCCAAAGGGACGGGCTGGTGCTATTAATAGTGTGGTTTTGTGTGTGTGGGATTTTTTTTTTTTTTTTTTTTACAAACTTTTCGTCTTCCCCGCTTCCCATTTGTATCTGCCAGCAAGCCGCGCCAATTCATCCATCCCTGAACTCCGGCACAAGTGCGTTTCTTTATCGACATGGAGAAGAAATCCATGCTAACTACAGTGTGGAGGCCACAGCCACAGTACAACTCTTCAGTGTGGGCCGCATTGTTACTTTTACGACTAAAGGTCTATGGCAAGTGTGACTAAAGGTCTTTGTACACGTGTGACAAAGGTCTATGTACACGTGTGACTAAAGGTCTATGTACTAGTGTGACTAAAGGTCTATGTACTAGTGTGACTAAATGTATATCTACTAGTGTGACTAAAGGTCTATGCACTAGTGTGACTAAAGATCTATGCACTAGTGTGACTAAAGGTCTATGTACAATTGTGACTAAAGGTCTTTGTACTAGTGTGACTAAAGGTCTAAGTACTAGTGTGACTAAAGGTCTTTGTACTAGTGTGAATAAAGGTCTATGTACAATTGTGACTAAAGGTCTATGTACTAGTGTGACTAAAGGTCTATGTACTAGTGTGACTAAAGGTCTATGTACTAGTGTGACTAAAGGTCTATGTACAATTGTGACTAAAAGTCTATGTACTAGTGTGACTAAAGGTCTATGTACAATGGTGACTAAAGGTCTTGTCCAAGTGTGACTAAAGGCCTGTGTACAAGTGTAGGAAACGTCCATATCAGTATTTAAAAAAAGGATCTAGTCTAACAATTGATCAGCTCCTCAAGTTTCCCTCCATCTTTAGGCCAAGGCTCACGTCGTTTCCCTCTCTTGTGTCGTCGTCATTTTGTTGACAGGGTCTTCAAGATTTTACAACAACAAAAGCATCCTATTGACTTTTTAAAAAATAATACGTACTGTGTGGGTGTCTGTAAATATATGTGTGTATATTTATATGTTTGTGTGTGTGTAAAGGCTTATCATAATGTGAAGGGTTGTAATCGGGACCGCTTGGGGCGACACTTTTGTCTATGTTATTTGATCAAATCTATCATAGATGGGTGGGTGCGTGGCCGTTAGAAGGAGTGTTATTTGATCAAATCTATCATAGATGGATGCGTGCGTGGCCGTTAGAAGGAGTGTTATTTCATCAAATCTATCATAGATGGATGCGTGCGTGGCCGTTAGAAGGAGTGTTATTTCATCAAATCTATCATAGATGGATGGGTGCGTGCGTGGCCGTTAGAAGGAGTGTTATTTCATCAAATCTATCATAGATGGATGCGTGCGTGGCCGTTAGGAGGAGGAGCTAAGCCGTTTTATCAATATAAAGTATATGCATCGTCATCGCTATACATTGTGCCGCCCGGGACAGACTTGGTCGCCATCCGAACACCCCCCCCCCCGAAAAAAACAACAACAACCTCACTATAGATTAGTGATTTTGAACATAGAAAAGGTTCCCGGACTGCCACTTTGATCAGCGGGGAGAGCGGAAATCGAGGGCGCGAAAGTGTATAGCTATGATTGCACAGAGCCAACAAGGAGACAAGGTTGGTACACTGTATTTAGAGGTGAGGCTATCCAAAACTCTTCTTTGACATTTATCGGATTGTGAAGCGCGGTCCGTAACAGCAATGTCCACCGTGAGGGACAGTCTATTTAGATAAGAAATTAATTCTTGGTACCGTGCTTGGACTTGCCGACGGTGCGTGGGTGTGTGCGTGTGTGGGCCTCTGTTTGGAGCAATGACTCATCCAGGGGGACACCGCTCGTCTAAATAGTTCTCTGGA